ATACAATGCACTGGGATGTTCAATGGGAAAATGGTACTAGACTGACGCGTTTTTTCGTTTGGGATCGGTGTGCCTGACATTCATTCAAACAGAAATCCCTATGGTTTCATAGAACAGTACTAGATTTAACACTAGATTTCTGGAGTACTGGGTTACTGGATTGCAGAAATGTGCCATTTGAATTGGACAAGGATCTTTGTGACGTTTATTAGGTAGAAAGTTTGATAGAATGTTAAGTCTTGTGCGGGTAATAGAGATTTTGTTATTTGTGAAGCTTTATTGTTTGAAATTCTTACTTGTGAAGCTTTACTGTTTAAAGTTCTTACCTGTGAAAGCTTTATTGTTTAAAATTTTTACTTGTAGAAGCTTCATTGTTTAAAATTTTTACTTGTGGAAGCTTCATTGTTTAAAATTCTTACTTGTGGAAGCTTTATTGTTTAAAGTTCTTACCTGTGAAAGCTTTGTTGTTTAAAATTTTTACTTGTAGAAGCTTCATTGTTTAAAATTTTTACTCCTGGAAGCTTTATTGTTTGAAATTCTTACTTATGAAGCTTTATTGTTTACAATTCTTACTTGTAGAAGCTTTATTGTTTAATATTCTGACTTGCAGAAGCTTCATTGTTTAAAACTTGCATTCTAGATGCGAGGTGATTAATTACGAAAAGTACCATTTTCATGAATAACTCTTTGGAATAGTGACTTCGGTTTTCAATCGTTCCTAGATGTTCCAAATCGAAGCTCAGACGAAGATTCCCATTCCTCCGTTAAGGTGTATCGATTGGCCAAACAGTGAACCAGTAATCGTATTACCCTAACCAATATCGGACGCCAGGAAAAAGCTGACGGTGCATTTCGCGCAATACTCGTGGAAACGAGAACTCCGGCGTGCATGCATCGTTAAATATCGTTCGAACTCTGTTTTATTATTTTATGGACTCTTTTACTACGAATCCATGCATTGAGGCTGATTGATTTTATTAGGCTTACAATTAGGACTAACTAAGTACTCGTTGCTACATTCTTCACAGAACAAAAACGTCACTTTCAATATAGAATAAACTTATTCATCCCACACCTATAAAAAAAGCCCCTAACAACAAATATGACGAACATTTTCAAAAATTGTCTAGCAATATTCACATACTACACATTACAAAAATCGATACATTCATTTTCATATTTAGAAAATTTCAAATACTAAAAAAACGTGTTCGACAAAATTCAATCTACAGTGAACACGTTAACCCTTGAACTCTGTAGACCCCAAAATGGCACCAGTTGTAATATTGAATATTTTAACGAACCAAAGAAACTACCCTAAAATTATTCGATGTTCCACACATCCAAATTTTGTACTGAGAATGAAAATAAAAGATCAAAGGAATGTTACAGCATTTTTCATTTTCACTAGATACTTTGAAAATTCGTTGCTGATAGATTACAAGACCATCTGTAGTGCTAAGGGTTAAATCGGCGTGGGCCATTATTCGGTAAGAAAACAAAGGAGGTGACTAGTAGAAAAGAAATGGTCCGTGTGCGAGAGGATCCCAATCGATCACCCGGTATAGAGCGTAGAATCGACGGGGTCCATTAACGTTCGCGAATAGTGGTGGAACGAGTTACTCCGTTCGAAAGATAATCGACGAATTATTCGATTCGATTCGAGCGACGGACGCTCTCCGCGGCTCCGAGAGGCACGGCCGAGGAGCGGAGGCCGGCGTATTTAAAAACAGAAGCGAACCCGAAGACCGGTTAGGCACCAAGGAGATCAACCGACTGGTCTGGGTAATCGGCTAAAATGAATCTCTGGTGTCACACTTTCCTTCCCTCGTTATCAACGATCCCCCGACGGTCGTTACTTTTTCTGGGAATCGCAACGGGAATACGTGTGTATATTCCTGCTCGATTCCCGAGGCGTTTTACCGCGTCGCGCGACCGTGGTATGCGATCCCTGACCGATTCGAAAATTCATCTCACCACCTCTGTTTCCTATGCAGCTTCGACTGCATTCAATTCTACGGTTTGGAATGAGTTACGGGGACACCGTTGTTCGTCAAGCTTTATCTTTGGTACTAGGAGAGTGTTTGGCTGATAACAGCTTTTGGAGCAGGTTCAAATTTTATTATTTGATATGTGGGTATTGAAGATTGAGATGTTGTTAGTGTTGATGATCTTGACATTTTAGTAATTGCAGGAATAAAATAATCTTTAGTTGAACATGTGAATTTTAAAGAAATAGTAATATTTGGTTGAGTACTAGAAGACTGTTTGGTTGATAACAGCTTTTGGAGCAGGTTCAAATTTTACCATTTGATATGTAAAATGTGGATATTGAAAATTTAGGTGTTAATAGTGTTGATGATCTTGTAAAAAATGGTAATACTCTCCCTAGATAACTAAACTACTCAAGGTCGATCTGAATAGTGTTAAATACACATCTATCTTTTGGTACATGACATATTCCAAAGTCACTGAAATCAACACTACAAATCCAGTTCCAATTTCAGTCACCACTCCAACTCTCCCAACATGAAACCAACCTAGAAACTTCCCACGATAATTTCAAAAATCCTAACCCAAAAGATCCATCAAAAAATTCCAATCCCCAGTCTCGAGAGCCAGACGCCAGCCATCTCGAGGGGTTACAGTTACGCAAACAACGTGAAAGTGTAAAAAGAACGAGAAGGAACTCACCTGGATAAGGTGCCCTTGAGCAGAGGATTCCTGTCGTCATAGTATCCACCGGACGACGGCATCTTCAAGTAATCCAAGCAATAGGCACGTGGCACTTGGCACTGACACTACGGCACTGCATCACTGTCGCGTGATCTGTTAACTTTCCATTCACCGTACCCACAATATACGGCTACACGGTTTTGCTAGGCGCGCGACCCATCGTTTCCCGCGGAACAATGGTCTGCTGGATCGAAAATCGAAGGAACAACGAAAATATGCGTGAGAATATATATATGCGTGCGTGCATGTACGTTGAACCCGGCACTCGCGCGATGCGTATCACAGGTAACCGCGTTACATCCTCGACACGAGGATCGACAACGTTTTCGTATCGTCAGTTACGTGCCTCATAGCATTTCTCTCTCTTTTGCTCTCGCTCTCTCTCGCTCTCTCTCTCTCTCTCTCTCTCTCTCTCTCCGGTCGAGAACCATGCGCGCAGATAACGGGCAGCCAACGAACACTGTCAACAAGTCGCCAATACGTCTTACCCAGTCGACTCTCGACAATTATCTAGACGAGCGGACTGACTCTCTCTCTCATTTTCCTCGATAAGCGCGAGTCGTGGCACAGCGCCGCTTCGACACCGATCGTTAAAGCGGCGTCGATGTGATCCTGTGGTCGCCCTCCTGGCCACCTAAAGGCAGAGAATTCACGGTTTAACCTACACCATTTCCAACCGCGCGTCGTTTCTCCCCTCGAACTGCCGCCGCCGTGCTCCCCCGACACGTGCGAACACTCTTGCCAACCATGGTCGACTATCAACAACCCATCCCGCCGTTGTCCCTGACGCGGCTGCGCGGTGCCGTTCCCTCCAAAAATTGCCCGGGAAACTTTCCAGGGCTACGTTCACACTCGATTTCATCGAACGCCCGCGCACTGTCATTCTTAATGCATTATAAATTTCAGAAGTTTATGGAAATTTTGGTTTTATTGTAATATGTTGATAAGTTTTTGGTATGGAGTTTTTATGATGTTAGGAATTTGAAATGAACTTTGTATGGATTCGAGTGGTACTTTTAATGGCAACTGTAGAAATAGAGATAGGTCTCTATAAATTGCAAATGTTATGAATAAATTACTCACGCGTAGATTGCCTAACCCTTTGTCCCTTTAATCCTCAGTCACCACTTGATTCGATTTTCAAAATCATAAAGTCTTATATATAATATTAAGCCTCGAATAATGCAACGATACATGGAATATTAAAATAAAATAACTTTCCTTAATTTATATACGTTTCCTCATTAATTAGTTCCAATGAAAAATTCTCGAGAGCAAGGGGTTAAAATTATTCGAGAATCGTTTTCAAGTTGCCAACCATCACTGTTCCCAGAAAAAAGGAAGGTTAGAAAATGAATGGTTACGTTACGTGGATAATTCGCTGTCTTTCTATGGCTAATAATCTCATTAGTCCCTTAGGTCAATTACGCTACGTCACGAGCAACATAAATATTGTTACGTGACCGCGGGGTAGGCGGTAGTGGTGTGTTGAAAAAAGAGTACAGACCGAGTTCACGATATCCGACGTACACGTTGCGGCAGTGCTAATGCCGATCGCCATCTTGCGGTGGGTGCCGGTGCAACGTTCTTTCGGCTGCCGTGAATTTTACAATACGAACGGAATCGATCCAGGTTCAAACGCGATTCCCATTATGGGAACGAACTTCTGGGAAAGCGCTTCTTCGTTCGCGTCGGTCAGACGCCTTTCACATTCTTCGCAATGTTGCGAACGGTCAACGCCATCGGGCGCGATTGGCGCCAAAATCGAGGCACGCTCCGAGGCAGCAGCCGCGCTTCGGTGAAAGTCCTCGGTCGCGCGCTATCCGGGAAACGTTGGAGTGCGTGTTCTCATGAATTTTCCTGCTAGCCGGGTGCGACCGTTCCGCCGGCGACGCGTTCTAGAAATGGGATCGGATGATTCATCGGTTTTACGGGAATCAGCTGGCGGCGGTCGTGATCGCGGTCGCGCTGTACGTATGCCGCTGGGATGAACGAGGATCCCCGCACACGTGTTTTCCAGGCGCGGAGAACCGTCGGGATAAGTGTCACGGTTGAAAGCGGAACGTGCCAGGTGAGTCGATCGAGCGCGTTGTTTATTTATAAACTAAGGGAACCCGGGAGAGAACGCGGAGAGACGGCGTGCGCCTCGCGCATTTAGTTTACCGTTCGCAAACTACACGAGCCGCGTACTTTAAGGACCACGCGTTCTTAGTCGCCTGATACGACGATGATTGGCCCGGCCATCCCAAGATGGCGCGATTCACCCGTCAACACCTGCGAGTCCCGTGACACAATCGTTCGATTTTTTGGCACCCACCGACCGGCTCTCGTCCCGCTCGGAACGTTTTTTATCGTTATTATTAGGCCGATGATTATCGCGTTATCCGCGGGTGACGTTGTATCATGTGAAATCGAGGATCGAATCGTTGACACGCATACGCGACTACAGTTGGGATCGTGATCTTAACACGTTGAATGCCGTGGGAGTCGCTGGTGACCGGAGCTTCGAAATAACTCGGAAACAATTAGAATTCGTAAGGTAACCGGCGTCGAATAAAAATATTCAATGACGTAAATGAGTTGATAGTGTTGTAAGAATTGTAGTAGCATAAATTAATAATTATTCCTGTTTATCTTTGTTGCGAAGGTGTAAGTGGTAAAACGCTGTTTTTCGTGGCAGTCAAGCAACGTGTTAATGGACGCTGCCGTGCGCGATAATGTGAAACGGACCTAATGGTGTTAATTACGACGAAAATGAATTTTTCATAGGAACTTTACATGCTAAGGTATTCAGAAATTACAAATTATGCTCTCGAAAAATCTGGCAAATGAGTTTAACGCTAGAACTACCAAGCAGTTAAACTGACTCTTCTAAATTTCTTTATAAAACTTTTAACTGTGTATTTATTAACCCTTTGCACTCGAGAGGCGACTCCCAGTCGCCAGGTGATTTGATACAGAAAACTTATAATCTTTGGAATTTACCATTAAACTTTGGAATTTATCATTAACCTTTGTACATCGCATCAATACGTGAAATATTGAAAGAAAATAGCTTCGTTAACTAATTTATGTATGATTTCTTGTCAAGTGCATTTTAAAGGATCTTGTCTACATCTAATTAGGAAGTGAAAAACTTTCGAGTGCAAAGGGTTAAGATTTCAGTACAAATATTACTAAATCAATTTCTTCAACGATTTCTCAAAAGCATTTGTTCCTTTTCAGTAATTGCAACAGAAGAAATTAAATCATTTTGACCCATCTTGTAATTCCAATGTTAAATTTCCATTCTTTTACGGTCTTAGCCGTCTATAAGCGCAACGACTGTTACGAGCACTCTTTATTTACCGTTCAATCTTCATAAAACGATATTTAATCTGTCGACCGCTACAGGTATCGAGCGATAGCTCTAAAAAATTTGATTTATCATTCAACAGAAGTGACAGCCGTATTTTTAGAGCGTCGAGAGAAAAAGTGGAATGTAATAGTCCGAAGAGGTTATGGTAACGCGAGAAGCTAACGTTCGAATTGATTTTGAAAATTCCAAGCCGGTGACGCGTCATTGTAAACTGTGCCAAGAAGCGGCGCGGAGGAAATTGTAAACGATGAAATTTCGAGAAAGATTGTTCGAAATAGTCTATGATTAAAGAAGGAACATAGACGTGCAACGGGCATCCTCCGTGCGCAAAAAATCAGCAGTTACAGTAGTGTGTCATAAGCTATAATTATTCCTTTCTCTCGGAGGCTCTGTCTCATCTGTGCACTTTCACCGTGGTCTTCTAGGTCTCGAGACGGGCAAATGTGCAGAAAAATAATCGTAGCACGGGCGGCCACCGATTTCGTTCGCTTCAACCGATTTTAACGCAAATACGGCGCTTATACACTGCACTCGAAGCGAGATAAGTCAGTCAACTTTGTAAACGAGATTTCCCACTAACTGAAAACTCTAGTGTTCAATCGTTTTATTATCTGCGCGCTATCGGTCTAAATTTAGAAATTCAACTGCTTACATAGAAAGCAGACTTCAGATTTATATCACTTTCCGTACTATAAGGTAGAAAATGTACAAAAGCATAACAAAATAGCAAACTATTTGCTACCATAATTCATACGTTATATTATCTGGTTATTTACGTCGTTGAATATTTTTAGTCGACGTCAGTTGTTTGTATGAATTATAATTGTTTCAATTTCGAAGCTCAGGTCGCCAGTGGCGGTCAACGTGATGTTTATTGAAACTGTTAGAATAATTAGAATAATTGTATTAACCCTTTGCACTCGAAACCTTGTGTAATGTATCAACACACAGAACATCCAAGTAAAATATTTCCCTCTTAATCTATACAAGATAATCAATTGTGTTGGTTGCGAAAAATATCGTTTAGTCAGAAAGTAATGAATATTTTTCATGAAAAATATTGTCGAGTGCAGAGGGTTAATATTTGATATCCAAGTCAATATGAGAAATATTCATTGGTTTTGAAATTCGATTATTTTTGTAGTAAAGTTTCCCGATTAATTTCGATACACGATGTTCCCTGTACATTATTCGAGACCGGTAACGCTCGTGACCCCTGAAATTTCACGAAAATCTCCGATACCATGTAGAATTAGCGTCTTGCCACACGTTCAACGTTAAATCGTAATAATAGCGTACCCGGCCCGGTAGGAACACGCAAACGAGCAACGATCCTTTTACGAACCGATGTACCGTTCTCGCCGGCAGCCCAAGTCGAAAGTATCCGGCATAACAAGGGCAAATGACCTACTCGCCGAGTCGCTAACATTTTTCAACGGTCCGTCAACGAATAGATCGACCTCTTCATTTCCCTGGCGTCCTTTCACTGCGCCACGATCAAATCGAATGACACGCGTTTAATATTCGAAACACAGAACATTCAGAAGATGTACTTTTCAAGTCAAATTCAAATTTTACGACGAATTTGGGAGACAATAAAATGTAACGTTTATTCTCAATGTTAACCTTTGCACTCGAATATTTTTCATTAGAAATATGCAGCACTCTGATGGGACACAGATGATGTTTGAAACTAATTAATGAGGAAACACGTGAATTAAGGACAGTTATTTTATTTCAATATTCCAGCATTATGCAAAGCTTAATAGTAAAACTAGCAGACAGATCAAAATGACCATTCCTGATGTCTCAATTAAAATTATAAAATTCTAGAAATTATGAAAATATGGATTTAGCAATGCGCAAATTGAATCAAATCAAAGTCTCAATAGATGCCTTAGAGTCTATACACAAATTTCAAAAAGTCAATTTAACTGCTGCTCTTACTGTTAATATTATATTCAAAACCTCATAATTCCTCTATATCAAATCAAGCACTAACTCACCCCAGTGCAAAGGGTGAAATTCCCAACTCCAAAACCAGAACCCCAAACAAAATAAAATCGACGAAACTCGCATTCCATCCTCAGTCCAAAAACCAACGGCCCACGATCGACTAATCAGATTTCGAGTTTACGATCATCCCCCGGTCCGGCACGCGAAATAATACAGCGCGTTCCGTAGCTGTACGCCAAGATGCTTTCGAGGGATGGGTAACGAGGCGAAAAGTCGAGGAGTAAAAGCGTTACGTGATTCAAGGACGTACGCTAAGTGGGATCGTGACGCAGTCGATAAGCAGCTGTAGGTGCAACGATCGTTCTACCCTTATGGCCTGTGTATTTGTTCACGGCGGTGCTCCCGAGTAGGAAAAAAGCGCCCTCGCCGACCGACCGACTACGCGGCCTACTACCAAACGGGAAAAGAAACAAACAAACGAACAAAAAGAACGAAAAAATGAAGGAACGCGTATACTCGAATGCTCACTGGAAAATCGGTACCGTAAGCGTTCCACTTCTCTTTCGTTCTCTTTCTCCTCTCTTCCCCCCTCTCTCCATCCATCCCTCCCTCCCTCTCTCTCTCTCTCTGTTCTTTCTGTCCTTCTCTTTCTTTCAGTCCCCCCACCGGCGACTCTGTCTTTCTTAAAAGAAAACCGCTCCGGAATCCGCGTCTCGGAATGCGAGAGGCGACGAGTCTCGGCTTAGCACGAACGCAACCTGTCCACACTGTTTCCCCCACCCCGGGTCCGCCGCTGATCCTCCTAACTCTACTTATCCATCCCTACCAGCGGCCGAACGATGCAAACACGATTGCACTCATACACCGCCACGCACGCGTCGCGCGTCTGCACGTACACCGCGAGATACGCACACATAGGTACATGCCATCATTCGCTTGATCGTGTAACCGTATACATGACGCGTCGTTCGCCAGAGCCGAGACTCCTTATTATTCATTCGGATGCATATACAACACTGCGGTCGAATCCGGCGAGAATGAGAAACCATTGTGTCGGCTCTTTTTCTTTTTTTATCAACGCGAACACGTTTTCACCGGTGAAAATTACACGATCGCCGTCGGGGTAACTGCCAGGCTACCAGCGCGTGTTCCGACGGTCTCGATTATATTTTCCTCGATGCAGTAATGATAAAGAGGATATTAGGAAAATGAAACTGGGACGTTGAGTTTCTTAATGTAGCTTGTAGTTTATAGTGGTATCTGTGGGACTCGTTTGATTTTCGTTATGTAAAATACAGAATTACTGCTGTCACCGAGATGACGCTCCGAACGCGTTGAATGGGGGTCACCGGTGACCCCGAGCAAATCGAATTATAGTTCACTCGATGAAACGACGATTATATGAAAACGTATATTATAAGTAATGCTAATACAGTGACATTCAGTTAGACGTGGAATAGTAGTAATTTCGATTAACCCTTTGCACTCGAGAGTTTTTCAAATCTTCAATCCTTTCTAGCTAGATTCTTTAAAATTCATCAAGAAATCACTCATAAATTGGAACAAAGTTATTTCCTTCCAATAATCAAAGCTTATAATTTTGTATCAAATCATCAAGGGTTAACCCTTGCACTCGAGAGGTGACTCTAGGCACCATTTGATTCGACATAACAAAATTACAAAGTGTTACATATAATATTAACCCTTTGCACTCGAGAGGTGACTCACTTTTGAGAAATATTCAAATAAAACAACTTTGTTCCTGAATGTCCTGATTTCTCGTCGACTTAGCTTCACAAAACATCAATTTTATCTCATGAGAAAATATTAAAATATTTCTAGTGAAAAACTTCCGAGTGCAAAGGGTTAAGTTTCGTGTAATGCATCAATATGCGAAATATTTCCCCAAAACATCTTCGTCTCTAATTTACGTATGTTTTCGCATTAGTTTCAAATAACGTCGTCTACGTCTTTTAGGAAAGCGTCGAATGTTTCTGGTGGAAAAGCTTTCGAGCGCGAAGGGTTAATATTATATTGTCTCCATTCGGTGTACGTTCCTAAGTGAAATCGTGCGGCGTTGGACGTGTTAACGCGCGGAGGAATTACAGAGCGACGCGTGTTTCTAACCTGCACGAGAAGAAGACGATTAAGTTTCGGTTCCGTTCCGTGGCAAAGTTTCCGCTTAAAATCCGACGATTCCGTTTCAGCGCAAATGGAATCTGTCCACGCTATTTCCTCCACGATCTCTCCGTCCCGTTTCCCCTTCACCTCCTTTTCTCTACACGCTTGTTCTACCCGGTGTGTGTGTGTGTGTGTGTGTGTATGTGTGTGTGTGTGCGCGAGTAGTCGGTCCCGCCGCGCACACTACCGCCGCGAGTATCTATATTTGTCGGATCCCCGGCTGAGATGTGTGCATGCCAACCACACCGGCACACCGATTCGTACGTGCAACACGATTTCGCTTATTTATCCCACACATGTGCGCTTGATACGCGTAGATACAGCACGCGTCTTATTTACCGAGCGGCTGAGAAAGAGAGAGGAGGACGAACAGGCCAAAACAGAGAGAGGAACGGCGAGATAGCGCCGCGGAACGACACGAGCTATTTTTCAAACTCGGTGCACGTACCAGCGGTGATCGGGTTCGGTGACGATCGGGGCATCTGCCGGGGAACGTACGTACGCCAGGCGATACCCCATTAACACTGGAAACACCGAATGGGACAAAAATCCATTCGTCAATTGTTCTTTGAGAATTATTGAAAAGAGTAGATGCTGCTTTGCGAAGAAATCGAGTGAGTAACACGCAAATTTAACCCTTTGCGCTTGAGGGGTGACTCTCGCTCACCACCTGATTATACAGTGAAACTATAGAATTTGATGTTTAATATTATATCTTATATGATTCATCAATTTAAAAAATATTAAAAGAAAATAGCTTTGTTCGTCAATGTACGTATAATTTCTCTTCGAGTTAGTGTCATAAAATATCGTCCTTATCTCGTCAAAAAGTGTTCAAATATTTCCAGTGAGAAACTTCCGAGTGTAAAGGGTTAATCGTAAGTCAAGGTGACTTTTCAAAATTCTATGGGAACTCTAAGGATCTATCGAGGCTTTTATCAGTCGAAACTTAGATCGATTGCTCTTTTAATAATTGTGCAAGAATTTAGGAATGGGGCACTTTGACCTATAGTTCTAGGGTTAACACTAGAATTATTCTTTTATAATTATTGAAAATATAGCGGATGCTTTGACTTAGTTATGCAAATTCAATCATAATTGAATTGAAATCGCAATAGTTTAGAGTCTTTATAGAAAAATTTGAAAACTTCAGGTTGGCTGCTCGGTAGTTCTAGTGTTAACACGTTGACTGCCACG